CATGATGAGAGCCAAAATCGAGACTTCGATGCCCAACTGACTAAGCCACCTGGGCCTCCTGTTTTATGACTTTTATTGAAATATTTAAAAAACTTTATGGCTCTTATGGATGTACCCTTTTAAAATAATACATGTGGCTTTGGCAAAAATGTAGCAATGCTATTGATTTTTAAAATTTTTTTTTTAATATTTATTCATTCACTTTAGTTAACATACAGTGTAGTCTTGGCTTCAAGAGTAGAACCCAGTGATTCATCTCTTATATACAGCACCCAGTGCTCATCTTGCAAAGTGCCCTCCTTAATGCGTGTCACCCATTTAACCCACCCTGCTCCAGCAACCCTGAGTTTGTTCTCCGTATTTAAGAGTCTCTTATGGTTTGCCTCTCTGTTTTTATCTTCTTTTTCCTTCCCTTCCTCTATGTTCATGTGTTGAGTTTCTCAAATTCCACATATGAGTGAAATGTTTGAGAGAGAGGGAGAATGAGAAAGAATCCCAAGTATGCTCCATGCTGTCTGCACAGAAGCTTACATGGGCTCAGTCCCAAGAACTGTGACATCACGACCTGAACTGAAACCAAGAGTCAGATGCTCAACTGATTGAGCTATCCAGGCACCTCTAATTGTTTTTGTTTTTTAAATTTTAAGTAGGCTCCACACCTAATGTGGCTTGAACTCACAACCCAGAGATCAAGAGTTGCATGGTCTATGGACTGAGCCAGCCAGGAGCCCTGGAATGCTCTTGTTATATATTTATCATTTCCATCAGCCTTTCTATATTGTCTTGTTAGTTCTGATAACCTCAGGATTTTCCCATTAGGTTGTTATTGAAAGTAATGACAATGTTATTCCTTCCTTTCCAACTAATACTGCTGCCTCATTACTGTTTCTTGTGTTGGCTAGGCTCTCCTGTATAATATTGAAATGAGGCATTGAGAGTGGGCCTTCTCATCTACTCTGACTTTAAAAAATGTGCTTTTCAACTATTATTATTAACTTTGATATCTAGTGTTAATTTTTGCTGGGTATCCTTTAATAGATTATGGGTATTTCCTGTTACTCCTAGCTTTTAAAGAGTTTGTTGGGTTTTTTGTTTTTAATTCATGAAAGGGTGATTTAAAAACAAGGTAGAATGAAAATAAGAGACAACAGTACAGAGTGGGTTCAAAGTGGAAGCTTTCTAGGAGTTACCTGTTTGGCAGCTGCTTTGCTGAATCTATTGGAAGTTGTAAAGGAAAGATCTCTTAGATGTACCACCTGAGGCCTTGATCTTCTCAGCTCCCCGCTTGGAAACTGAGATTTTAAATTACCCGGTACATACAAGGTCAGGACTTTGTCTCTTAACTACAAATTGAAAGGCTGAGATTTTAAATTACATGAGAATTTACTTCCTTCTTTGTGTAATATATGCTTGTAAATGCTTACCACATGTGAGGTATTGTTCTAAGCACTTTTTGATATGACTTGTTTACTTTTTATAAAACACTGCTATGAGTAATGTTTTATTATCCCCAATTTCAGATGAGAAAACTGAGGCACAGAGAATAGGTAACTTGTCTCAAGTCACAGGCAGTATGGCTGAGCCTGCACTTGTAAATGTCATACTGTCCTGCTTCTCTTGCTAATAAAGGCAATCAAGAGCTTTCTGAAGGGCAAGAATTGTTTTGTTTTCACTAAAATAATTTGATGAATGACTCATTGCAGCTTCAATAATAAGGTCTGTAAAATCCAGAGTGTAGCATTTTTTGTAGTTTTCTAATATTTTTCCTTCCGTTCTTTGTTCTCTCAGGTTTGCCTTCTCACCATTGTCTGAGGAAGAGGAAGAGGATGAACAAAAGGAACCTATGCTGAAAGAAAGCTTTGGTAGTTATAAAATTTATTTGTGCTTTAAATACTATTTTCTGGTTATTAGAAATAGAGTAAAGCAAGTATAACAGTGTGTATCGACATCAAGATGCTTTGATAATTGTTTATCATTTTACAATTGTTGTACAGTTGTTTCTCAATTTGGTATGTGGTGAAGTTAGGGGGAATCAAAGGGAAGGGTATAAATTTTAAGGTGAAGCCATGATAAATTCAGTAAATAATTGCACAGGAAATGTACAGTGTGCTTACTGGATGAGCTGAAAGTTTGGCTTTGAACTTCCTAGCATAAAGGTAGAGACATCTGTTGTATAATTCACAGTCCATAAACCTAAAGTTCTGAGTCCATGTTTGAAATTGTTGCTGGACTCCAGTAGGACTGCAGTATACTTAACCCATTTACTTTGTTTCCCACCACAGAAGGAATGAAAATGAGAAGTACTAAACAAGAACCAAACGGAAATAGTAAAATAAACAAAGCAGTAAGTAATTGTGTATAGGCCTTAATGATTTTTTAGATCTGTGCTGTAATTAAGCTTGCTTTATACATCTTTTAATATATTATTTCTTTTACACTTTTAAAAACAGAAACAGCAAGTGATTCTAAGATCTAGTTATCTTTAACTTACTTGGTTTGTTACTGTGTCCTGAAAAGGTACATCAGACTAGCCTGAGGGTTCTATTTAATTATTTTCATCAATGTAAGTTATAGCCCTATTAACCTAAAGTGTTGTTTATAGTAAAGAACAAGCTTTCTTTCATTCAGCAGTGTTTTGGAGTTTTTTTTTTTTTTCTTTGTTTTTTAGAATGATGCATGCAGTCTACATTAAGGGCTTTAGAATTTATCTCACTTTTAAGGAGCAGAACTTACAAGAAACAAACTCTTAGGTATTAGAACATTGAGAAGAAAGCATTTAAAGACAATTTTATGTCACTTATATACTTATATTACACTTACATAGTTTTTATGAGACTGACGCGCTGCCTACTGCGCTAAGGAGGCACCTCTTTACACTTACATAGTTTTTAAAAATACTTGACTATGTAATTTTTTAAATTATTAGCAGTCACATTTGTTATGTGAATATACTACATCAGAATTCTCAAAAGATGAAATTTAAAAATTTTGAGACCTCTTTAGATCCTTACTTGACATGTATTATTTGGTACATTTTAGTAACTACTGGTATTTGTACATTCCCAGCAGGAAGATGATTTGAAATGGGTAGAAGAGAATGTTCCTTCTTCTGTGACAGATGTGTAAGTTTTTGAACTATTTTCACAAGAATCCTTATTCAGTTAGTATAACTTTTATTATTCTAAGTGAATGAGCTAAAGAACATGCTAGTGAGAATGCTAATAGAAAATTAAAGAATATTAAAAGTGTTAAAAAGATGTTAAGTAAAAATTAGGAATGATATACAAGCAAAAGTAATCAGGATTATTTGTTCAGATTATTTGTTCAGATTGTTCATTTTTGCTTAGAAAGATTTAGCTGTAAACCTTGCCAAAATCATTGGGATATTTTTTGGGGGGATTTTTTTAGTTCCTTTCCTTGACTATATTTTTAATTAAATATTGGCCCTATTACAGTGCAGAACATGGTTTTTTTCTGTACAATTCCAGTAACTCTGCTGTTTTCATATTTGCTTTTTTCCCCCTGAAGTGTGCATTAAGCAGATCTTAATTATTAAAAAGGCTTTAAATTGTATTCATAATTTCACTTTCCTCTATGAACCATTTATGACTTTACATTGTTCATTTGGTGTTTTCCTCTCTGCAGAGCACTTCCAGCCCTTCTGGATTCAGATGAGGTTAGTGATCAAATCATGTGCATCAACTGTAGGTCTCATGATTTAATAGGTCCTTTGTTCAGGGGAATTTTATTTATTTTACTCAATAATGGCCTGAAGAACTATATTTGGTATGGTTCAAAAAGGATGAGAATAGAACTACTAATATTAGAGCCCAGATATTCAAGAAGGTTTCCTTTCTTTGTGTCCCCTATTTCTTTTCCAAAGTTTTATGATCAGATTTGAGGACAGGTCTTTTGTTCTGAATATTAGGTTATTCTAGAATCTCTTGATTTTTGAAAATCTTTTGAAAGCATCTGCCTGAATCCAACTCATTTTGTTGGATTGGCTGCTAAAAACAAAAAAAAAAAAAGATTTGTTTATTTCCCACTGACATGCTGTGTGATGCAGCATACAATGTCAAATTCCTTAGCAGTTCTGTGCATTGAAATAATTGAGAATTCTACCATTCAGAATTAAACCTATGGTGATAACACTGCTTTCTATGGTATATTCTGCAGTTCCCAGATCTCCCTGTTGTGGGCTTCTGCTAATAGTTTGCTCACAGGGCTTCCCTTTGACTTTAGTTCTCCAGCCATCATTCTGTTTCAGCCAGAGCAGGCTGAGTATGTGAAACTCAGTTGGGCCGTTCATGGCAATACAGGTTTAATAGAGTACTTTTGGTTGTATCGACGTCACCTATCTGTTCATGTTTCCCTGTGTGAAAAATCTATTCAAGAACTAAGAGGGGCGCCTGGGTGGCTCACTCGGTTAAGCGTCTGGCTTCACCTCAGGTCATGATCTCATGGTTCGTGGGTTCAAGCCCCACACCGGGTTCTGTGCTGCCAGCTCAGAGCCTGGAGCCTGCTTCGGATTCTATGTCTCCCTCTCTCTCTGACCCTCCTCTGCTCACGCTGTCTCTCTCTCTCTCTCTCTCTCAAAAATAAATAAAATCATTAAAATAAAAAAAAGAACTAAGAACTTAAATGAATTCTAAGAGAAACCAGTTTTAAAGGACCAGGAATTAAAAGAGCATCAGACTCTTCAGCCTCAATTTTGGAAGCTAGAAGATAATAGAACAATGCCTTTGAATTCTGAGGAAAATTATTTTCAATCTAGAATTGTATTTCAACTAAACTGTCAGTATGAGGGTAAAATAAAGATACTTTCAGTCATGCAAGCAATAAAATAACATTCCATATGTGCTTTCTCAGGAAAGTAATAGAAAATGTCCTTTACAAAATGAGAGAACTAAAAAGAGAAAGACTTGGGACTCAGGAAATAAAAGGTCCAATAGAGGGGCAAGGATAAACTGATGTTAGAAATTCCGAGAGTGAAGTTGGGTGACAGTCATGGAGGGCATCCAGTCCATAATGGAGCAAACCAGAGAGCTTCAGGAGGAGTAGTTCTAAGAATAAAATAAAAAGGATAGATTAGCTGATGTAATTGATCATAGTGAAAAGGCATTATAGTTCTGTTATAGTTCAGGATAAATTTTGTGATATGTGCTTTTAGCAAATGAAACAACACAAAAATGAAAATATTAACTCTAAGGTAAAAAGTTACATAAGAAAGGATATTTAATGGTAATACATTAATTTTCTTAATTGAAGTGGCATGCTACAAGTACTATTTTTTAATCAGAATTTTTAGCATGACTTTTTAAAAAAATATCAAAATGTATAAACTCTACTATCCTAATTGTTCTCAGGGAAAGTGTTAACTATATGCACATTGTGTACAACAGATCTCTAGAACTTTTTCATAAAGTATAACTTTGTTGAATGTGTAATATTTCATTTTAAGGGTAATACAGTCCTATGTTTTGGACATTTAATTCTGTTTTGTTACGGTTTTGAGTTTTGCAGTAGAAATGTTTCTGGCTAAACCCTGTGCCTACATCCTTGACATTTTCTTCAAGTTAAATTCTTGAATCAGAGGAGGTCCACATTTTCATTAAAGTTTAATCTTAAGTAAATATTTGCTTAATCGTCTTATTTGACTCAAAAATACACAGTTGCTTTGGATCTGTGGTTTGGTGTCCAGAATCCTAGAGATTTTGATTCAGTTAATCTTGGGTGGGGCCTAGACATCTGTATGTTTCAATATCTTCATAGATAGTTAGGAAGCATTTCTAAATATTTAGTGGACATCAGCAAAAGTACTTGTGGGAAATGTGTATGTGCATCATCTTTGTAGAAGGTACTTGGAATGTAGACCATTTAAAATTAATATGCTTAGAAAAGACCTTTTTTCCCCCTAGGAACGAATGATCACACACTTTGAAAGGTCCAAAATGGAGTAAAGAATGGAAGATGTGCAGTTGAAGATGGATAGTAACTCCGAAGAGATCAGCTTCTGTGTCAGTCTTCTACACTCCATGGAATTAAAGGAGGCAGTGAAACTTGATCTATTCCTTGACTTTTGTGCATCGGAGCTGGTGAGAGGTGTCAGAATACGGAGAACATCTTACTGAAAACAAGTTCATAGGACAAGAAAAATCTACAAGTTTTTATTTACAACATGGATGCCCCTTTCCCTGCCACGCCCTGACATGGATGTTTATGCAACTTATGTGTGTTGTTCCTGAATCTTCTATAATGTCTAAATTGTTTAATCTATCCAACTAAAAAGTTTAACATCTTCTAAAGAACTGTGACATCAACGCCATAATATGTGATCTCCAGGAGCAACTGCCTATAATTTTTATTTTTTTTAGAGAGTTACATAGGTGATGGGGGAAATTATCAATTACCTTTCCATTTCCTGAGAAGCCAAGGTTACATCTTGCAGAGCTAGTTTTGTGAAAAAAGAGTCCTGAGTTAAGGAGCCATGGTTCTATGGATGATTTAAAACAAAAAGAGTATGTAAGAGAAGCAAACTGTTACAGTATGATTCAGATCATTTAAAAAAAAAATCAAGTGCAATTTTGTTTACAAATGGTGTATATTAAAGATTTTTCTATTTCAGATGTACTTTAGAGAGAAATATTAGCTTAACTCTTGACATCTGCTATTGTGACACATCCCATTGCTGGCAATGTGGTGCACACTCCAGAACTTTTAACTACTGTTTTGTAAGCCTCCAAGGGCGGCGGCATTGTGGAGTCCTAGGCAGTGCTTTGTTTGCCTTCATGCCATTCACTGGGTGTTGCACTAGATGCAGAGAGGCACTCCATCTGTGTGCTTGTGAGTGAGCATCCTGCTAAAGGAAGTGTAATGCTCAAGTAGCAGGAGCTAATACAAAGGAAACAGGTCCTTCTGGCTTAATTGAAACAGTTTTTCCTGCATGAAGTAGTGTGGAGGCCCTGGACTGCTGCTCATTCTTTAGGATTGACTGTTATATCTGGTGTTGGTTTAGAGACTGTTTATAAGAGACATCACAAGGTGATGGGATTCATTTGAAGCACTATGTATGTTTTAATGGTTTTGTCCAATTTTGCCTTCCCAAGATTTTTGTTTTACATAGAAAGTTCATGCCACTTTTTAATATAAAAAATTTTAACAAAATTAATATATTTTCCTCATTTTTTCCAGACTTTCTCTAAAGACCATTCTTTCTTCCAAATTCTTGCGGGAATTTTCCTCCCATGGTTTTTATTCTACAGTCTTATTATCTGTTGAAACCATTGACCACATGACCACAATCTTTACTAACTCATACTATAGTGAAAGTGTTTACATTTATTTAACATCTCTGCTCTTTGCTGTGGTGATTTTAAAAATTCACCTAGGCTGTATCTCTAAGGAACAATATGAAGAACTGACTATATTCTCAGGTTAACCCATTAGCAAAAGGCTAGTGGTACTGTTGTGTACTTCTGTTCTTCCAGAGACATTTATCAAGTGAATAATAGTTATTATGCAGCAAAATAGTTGGTCATGTATTTTTGAGGATGGTTAGATGTTGACTTAAGATTAGGGAATAAATCCTATTGTGTTAAGCAGTAGTGTATTGTAACAAATTATGTAGACCGGACCTGATAATTCTTTCTGCTTTCTCTTATGGGTTATGGCACTGTGGTTAGATACAGCACATCATTTCTTAGAACTGGTTCAGAAGTAATTTATAGTATTACATTGACCTATTACCTGAGAGTTTATATCGGTCTTAGTCCTTGGGCCTGAAACTACCAGGTATTAGGCCTTCTATGAGGACGGTAGCTGGCAGTTCTTTATTTTCAAGGTGTCCATTTTCTATGGTGAAAATCACCCATAACACTTGATTTATTTAGCAATTTTTGTGTTAGTGCTAATACTTTGAAAATATTTCACTGGATTATCAGAAACATTTGGTAAAGATGGGACAATAATCCTAATTTACAAGTGAAGAAACTGACATGGTATAAAAATAAAGTGACCAAGGCCAGTTTTATTTTTACTTAAAGACTTTTGCTTTAAACTCAAATGCTTTTATGACCTACCTGCTGTTTTCTTTGGGGTAAAGGGGAAGGAAGTTGCCAGATGTACCTCATTCTTGCAGTAGTTTTCAAACGTTAAAGTGCATGCACTCATTTTGGGGACTTACTGAAGCACAGACTGCTAGCCCCTCCAGTCCAGATTTTCTGATTCATTAGGTTAGGAAGAAGGTCTGAGACTGACTGTATTTCCAGTAAGTTTCCAGGTGATGTTGATACTGCTGGTCTAGGGATCACATTTTGAGAACCACTACCTAGAACAACCTTTAAAAAAAGGGTAAGATACTTGAGCTTGTTGGGATTATAATGGTAATGCAAACACCATTTATTGGGTGTTTAGAGTGTGTCAGGAGTTGCTAAACGCCCACAACGCCAGGCTAGTGCGGAACACTACCATCCCTTTGCAGATATGGAAACAAAGGCTAATTTCCTAAATGGCTTATCTCCATTCCGACCAAGTGACGCCAAAGCCCGAACTGCCTGGGACAGTTCCAGGATTTCTACCCATTTCCTTTTTGTTAGGCTCCGTAGCTAGTTAGGCTCCATGACAAAGAAGTTCTGGGTCTAGGCTGAAGGTGAGGAACCTAGCGTCGGCGCGTTCCTCGAAGGTCTCTTTGGTGTTTGGGAGGAAGGGGCGGGGCTTCTACAGCGGAAGGGGCGGGCTTGGCCGCACAGGAAGTCCGGCGTTGGTGGCTGTGTTGTCGAACGGCCTGTAGCTGGGGTCTCAGCCTCCTGCTCGGCCCTTTGTGCTGGTTCCCGGCCCAGGTCCAAACCTGGCCCGTCCCCATATACTTCGGGTGAGACTGCTGCGGCGACTCTGCTCGCCGCCATGCATGATGCCTTCGAGCCAGTGCCGATCCTGGAAAAGCTCCCTCTGCAGATCGACTGTCTGGCCGCCTGGGGTGAGCCGAGGGGCCGAGGCGGGGTCAGCGCAGAATCGGTTCTTATCTTTTACAAGGCTAGGAATGTGGACAGGTGTCTGGCTGTATGGACTCGGATCGGACGTTATCCAAGAGACACGGGATGAGGGAGGGCATAGTATTGTAGATAGCGAGGGCAATGGAGCTGTTTGGCAAGTCCTCAGGGACTCAGGCTTTCGGTACGTTTACCCTTGCTTTCAGTACCGAATTGAAGGTTCAACTTTCTTATTAACTGTGCTCAGCTTTGGCTCATTTCGATTTCCAAAAAGTCTTCAATTTGGAGGGGGCAAGCACTGGGGAGTTTTCAACCTATCGGGTGTGTGAACTTGTCCAGATGATTGTTGTTTTCTAGGTGAAAAACCACTATTTTGAGAGGCATTAAATACGTTAATACCATATGCCTTTTTTCCCCTTTAGTAGTCCCTCATCATTCACTTCTCTGTATTCTAGGTAACTCATGTTCTAAACTCAATCTAGCCAAGTCGTTGATTGCTTTATATTCAGAATGTCCAGGTTACCTAACTGTGGGTAGAGGAGCCTCATTCCAGGCTGTCATGAAATCTAACCCTTCAAAAACTTGTGTAATCCTCTTGGGATGGGTCAATACAGAAAACAGGGTCTGGCATCTCTTGGATGCTCTAGAATACAAATGGTTTCAGGAGTCTAAACCTTGACTCTTAGTTACGAACATTATGCTCTTATCTTTGAGTGGTTGTGTCTGATAACAGCTACCAAAGACTAAACAAATAATTTAAGTCTTTCTTATTAATATCTAGGTGCTAAAAAAGGGCCATAAAAAAGTGGCCCAGAACTCTTAATCAGATCTTATACTGAGCTAGGTACTTAAGATGGGCCTGGCGGAATCTTGGTGGTGGCCACCATCTTCTGCATCATTTATGGACAGTACCACCCAGTCAGTCTTGCAGAGTTCCTTACAGCCTCTACAGTAGGGTGCTTTTACTACAGGTCTTCATGTTAATGTGCACTGTCTTGCCTTTAGCAGCCCTGGGCTTTTTTAAAATCATACCTCCACGCTTTCCTAGTCCCTTGGGTTAAGGAGAGAATCTTGCTTCCTCTGGATATCTCAAGAAAACCTCCATTTTCTGTGATTAAATGCTCAGTAAAAATTAAAAATACATAGAGGAGGGGCGCCTGAGTGGTTCAGTTGGTTAAGTATTGGACTCTTGATTTTGGCTTAGGTCATGATCTTGCAGTTCATGAGACTGAGCCCTGCGTAGGGTTCTGCGCTGATTCTCTTGGGTCTCTCTCTCTCTCTCTCTCTCTTTCTTTCTCTTTCTGCCCCTTACTATCTTGCACATATGTGTACACACACACTTTCTCAACATAAATAAACATTTTAAAAAATAAAATAGAGGAGGAAAGAAATGTAAAAACTGAAAGATTTGACCCAGTACAAAGGGACATATTCCCCTAATTCTTCATCACATATGTATCAGATGCCTATATGCACCAGTTTCTCTATTTCTCTGCTACAGGAATTAAGGGATGATTAAGAAACAGTAACTGTACTCCTAGGACACACAGTGAGGAACAAAGACCTATGAATAGATTATGACACAAGATAAATGATATTGGAGGCATATGTTGCCTAATATAGAAACATGGGAGAGGGTTACTCAGCTCAGCCTAGGACATATGCTTCTAAAAAGGATGAATACAGCTGCTTACCATACTTGTCAGAATCCTTGACTGATACCCTGTGGAACTAGTGGTACATGTATCTCACCCTTTCACCAACTCTACTTTGTCACAGTAAAGATTCCCTGTACTTGAGCTTTTCAGATAGTTTGGGAATTGTAGGTAATGGGGGGGCCTAGGTGGCTCCGAAGAGCATGCAACTCTTGATCTCGGGGTCATGAGTTCAAGCTCCAAGGTAGGTATAGAGATTACTTAAAATGAATAAATAAATTAAAACTTGAAATGGCAGGTAGCTCTTTGCCTTCATCGGTCACCCAGGAGGAGAAGTACTCATTACCTTCTAGGACGCTGTGTTAAGTATGAGGCTACAAGAGGCTATTTACCACCTCTTGACTCAAAACTATTTTCTGACTCAGCAGCAGTAAATACTACTATTCCTAGTTGTTATCTCCCTTTACCTAAAATTCATCTGGGAACCTCTAGAAATCAGATCATACAGGGCCAGACAGTATTCAAGCTGGAAGATGTCTTAGGGACACCATAGGCCATCTCTTGGAAAATGGAAATGAGGATACTGATGATGATGACTTCTCCCTAAACTCCAGAGTTGTAGAACCCACCTGCCTGTTCTGTACCTTCATTTGGATGTCTGGTAGCATGGCCACTCTCCCAAAACATGCCTTGTCCCCCTGCATCCCACATCTCAGCAGATGACATTTCTCTTTACCCATTTTGCTAAGGCCTAAAGCCTTCGAATCATTCTTCACTTCTCTTATATACTGCATCCGGTCCATCTGCAAATCTTGTCTGCCCTACTTCCAGTAAGTCTAGAGTCCAGTCACTCTTTCCATCTGCAGTATTTCTACTTTGATGAAAGTACCACCTCTCTCATTTGGATTACTAGAGTAGTCATCTGACTGATCACCATGTGTTTGTAATTGTGCCGCTCTCAGTCTTTTATCACACGGAGATAGAGTGATCCCTTGAAAACTTAGTGTGATAACATTTCTCCAGTGTTCAGAACCCTTCAGTAGCTTCATCTCAGAACTAGAAGAAGGTGCAAAGCCCTTACTGTGCTTTGTACCTCTGACAGCATCAGGCCTCTGGTTACTTCGCCTCATCTGCCCCATCTCCTATGCTCTTACCCCCTGCTCCTTTGTCCTGTTAGGCACACAACAGTCTTCTTTGTTCCATAACACACAAAGCACGTACCTACCTTGGAGCTTTTGCACTTGCTCTTACCTCTGCCTAGAACTCTCTTGCTCTAAATATTACATGACTCATTCCTCATTTCCTTCAGGTCTCTGCAGAAAGGTCTCAGCAAGACCTTCCCTGACTATGCCATATAAAAGACAATGTGCTGTTTTCTCTCTCAGCCTTATCTTTCTTATCATGGATTGCTACTTAATGCTGTTTTATATTATTGTCTTTTTCACTGCATATTAGAATAGAAGTTCCTTCAGAGCAGGAACTTTGTTTTATATATTGCTTTACTTATAGCTCCTAGAATAGCTCCTCGTAATGGGTATTTATTAAATCTTTGTTCAGTGAATGAATGATGATATTAATAGTAATAGCTTCCATTTATTGAGTACTAATCTGCATTAAGCTTTTATGAAACAATAACTGCATTTTGCAGAGGAATAACCTGAGAATTTAAGTAATTTTTCCAAGGTCCTTTACCTAGTAAATCATGTCTGATTATAGATACTGGTTCCGAAACTTTAATATATATTCAGAACCTGTAAAGAAAAATGCAAATGTGTGAATGTGTGTGTGTGTATCTGTATGTGTGTATGCAATCAATCTTATATTTTCCAAAGAAACAATAGAAAGATAAAAAGAACTAAAATGGTTGCCCATAGCAGAAGGGAGAGGGTAGACAAGAAAGGAAGCTAGACTTTGGGGCGCCTGGTGGCTCACTCGGTTGAGTATCTGACTTCAGCTCAGGTCATGATCTCACGGTTCGTGGGTTCGAGCCCTGCATCAAGCTCTGTTCTGAATGTTTGCTCAGAGCCTGGAGCCTGCTTTAGATCCTATGTCTCCTTTTTTCTCTGCCCCTTCTCCGCTTGTGTTCTCACTCTGTGTCTCAAAAATAAATAAATGTAAAAAAAAAAAAGAATGGAAGGGGCGCCTGGGTGGCTTAGTCGCTTAAGCGTCCGACTTTCGCTTAGGTCATGATCTCGCGGTTTGTGGGTTTGAGCCCCGCGTCGGGCTCTGTGCTGACTGCCAGCTCAGAGCCTGGAGCCTGTTTCAGTCTGTGACTCCCTCTCTCTCTGACCCTCCCCTGCTCACGCTGTCTCTCTCTCTCTCTCCTAGGAATAAATAAAACATTAAAAAAAAAAAAAAGAATGGAAGCTAGACTTCCCACAGTTTTAGCATTGAAACTACATAAATGTGTCATGTAATTAAAGCATTGAATTGAAAAATTCAGATTTCAGGTCACTGTTGCAGAATTATTGTATCTGAATCTCTGGGAGCAGCACTCAGGAATGTATATTTTTAATAAGTTCAAGTGATTCTGA